CATCTATAACCTACAAACAGCAAATTATTGAATTCTAGCTACTTAACCAAACATTTTCAAACCAAAAAGAGTAAATATGTTTAACAACACTTGCATTTGACTTACAGATTGTTTATGGACACTTTCATAACGCGGATGCAGGTAGGCAGCGTCTCGCATATATCGCTCTAGCCATAAAATGCCGAAACCACAAGCCTACTGCACCTCTATCTCTATCGGTGGGAGGTAGAAAATGTGTACTTCCTGTCATCAAACGCTCCAAGCACATGCATACGAGAGGACCACAATCCCCTCTGGCTTCCTTCGTTTGTTGTGGCGCGGTCTCGTCTCTGATAACTGTAACATTGAACTTCTTTGGCTTCTTGTTTCCAGACTTAGTCCAATAATCAATTGCATCCAAGAATTTAGCCAAATGAGAGCTCCATCCCTTAATCATATCTCTCAAATCAGACAATGATATGTAATTTATCATGCTGTCATATACTATTGTCTTTAGGGATGAGAGCTGAAGCTCAACGAGAAGCCAATGAGTACGGTCCAAAACAGGGATAAACACCTGCATCGAAATGTAATAATTCAAATTGCGCACTTATTTATGAACACCTTTAAAATATTTAAACAAATATACTAACCTTATCGACCTCCCACCATGCAGGATAAAGTTTAGCTTGTCCATTAGCCAACACATATGATTCCTGTCGTTGATTCTTCAAGTGAACTACGTGAAAAGACGTCGGCATAATTGTATATCATGTTTTTTTAATATTTTTCTTCAATTTCCTTACAATTAGAAGACGTGTCACCCATGCATCAATATGTTGTTTTACAAAAAAAGACATATATTAGTGAATTACATAAATTTTAAAATATTAATCAAACTGAAATATAAGAAATATAAGCCTTACCCCCTATCGAAATAGTCGTTGTCTTCAACCTCTAATAATACACCCCACCAAGACCGTTCAATCAACAAATGCATATCATCGTTGAGTTTGTATATGTCAGCGTAACACCCTTGGCTCCGTTCATGTAGATAAAAATCAACTACGGTCTTAGCCCAAAGGGTATTATCCAGAATTATTTCCGGTAGTTGTTTCCTCTCCACTTCATCTGCCGGAATGGTACTGGCCGGTAACTTATACGAAAGCCAACAGTCATCCATCATGTCCGGCACGTGAGGGGGCTTCTCAATAATTCGATATATTACGCCGTGTGAATTGGGCTCTAGAATGTTGGGAGGGACCTCTTCAACGATGACAGTGGCCTCTTGAACGGTGAGAGGGGACTCTTGAGGGATTATAGGGGCCTCTTGAATGATAGGGGAGGCCTCTTGAACGATGACAGGTGAGTCGGGCTTTTTCTTACGGATTCTTCGCAGTATTAGGGTGAACGGAGACGTAATGGCACGTGCACGTCGTCTGATGCGTGAACTCTGTCTTGCAAGAAAATCCGACTTAGAGCCTCCACCTTAGCGGGCCGCTAAAAATAAATTAATACATAAATCAGTAAATAAACAAACATGATATTAAACAGTGAGAACAAAGACAAATATATTTCAAACTTGCACGGTATTCACCCAAGTCATTATTATATCATTGTTCACAAAATGCATCAGATAATATTCCAGAAGTAAGCACTTATATAAACATTTAAAAGGACAACATATAGGTTTAGTGCAGGTTCAATGACAACACAGTTTAGCAGAATTGGCAGCAACCGAACAAATTTACTTTCAACCAAAAGACAAAACAAAGACAAATACTAACTTCACAGTGTTAAAGAATACACAGTTTAGCAGAATTGGCAGCAACCAAACAAATTTACTTTCAACCAAAAGACAAAACAAAGACAAATACTAACTTCACAGTGTTAAAGAATACACAGTTTAGCAGAATTGGCAGCAACCGAATAAATTTACTTCAACCAAAAGACAAAACAAAAGACAAATACTAACTTCACAGTGTTAAAGAATAAACAGTTTAGCAGTATTGGCAGCAACCGAATAAATTTACTAAGCAATCTAAGTGAAATGGTTAATCTAAGTGAAATTACGAGTAAATTTATCATCAAGTTAAATATGGAAAATCTTAAACTTACCTCGTTGCGTAGAGTATGAACCTCATTCTGCAACGATACTACCATCTCACGTAGAGCGGTAACCTCACCACGTAAAGTAGACACCTCCACACACCATGCACCATCGTTATCGCGTAGAGTACCGATCTCCTCAAGCAAGGCATTGACCTCATCACGTAACTCCCTTGACTCATCCCGTGGAGGTGGAGGTGGAGAACAGGGAGATAGAAGTCATGGCATCTTTGCCGGTCGCCTATCATGAGGTGATGGTGGAGAAGAGGCTCGATGATGTGACGGGATAGGTGATGGCTCTCGTTGTAGAGGTGTATAGTCGGGTCGATCAGGTGATGGCTCTGGGTGAGGTGATGGCTCTCGAAGTGGAGGAAGTGGAAGCTGCTCATCATTCGTGCCATCAAAAAAACGCTGACTAGCTTGCCACCAATCAATGGCAAGCTCAGCCTCCGTGGGTGTCAATCTCTGTAATGGAGTGTTGGCCTCCTAAAAATATAAAAACTCAAACAAAGTTAAACGTCTACTATTAATAACTTGTTATATATGATAGTATTTGTGTTAACTTACATTATTTATTGTCGCATATGGTATTAAGTCTTCCCAATCCAACAGACGTTTCCTCTTCCAGGAAATAGCCCTAGGAATATCATTTGAAGTTTTTAATGCATATGTCTGCATGCTGGGGAAAGCCTCGAATATCCAAATCTACAAACAATATAATAACAAACATTAGTAATTGTTAAATAATTAATTATAATTTTGAAAACATTATATATAAATTCTTACCTTGAAGACCCAAACAAAGCCTGGCAAAGTGTATTTCGACCCATCGCCATGCAAACTTTTGCGGTCATCAAAGGCAGACGACAACTTAGTCCAGGTAGCTTTCCATATATACACGAACCCCACGGAAACAGATTCCATGCATTTAGGTCCTCTACCAATAATATTAGCTCCTGAGGAATAGGTTGTCTGGCCTCTCTGCCTAAAAAGCCGGCATACAAAAGTACTAGAAGGAATACTCGGACAACATCGACGTCATTCATCCGAGTAAAACCATCTTTCTTATTAAACAATTTCTTCAGGTCGTCGACGTGTAAGTTCGACTTCTCTATTAACTCATCAGGAAAAACCCGGGATAACTATGATGGGCGGGTGATATGACGAGTGTATCGGCCTACATCATCGTGTCCGAATCGTAGACCAGTGATTAAGCAGAACTCCTTCCGCCCAAAACAAGTATACGCCGGTGGAAAATGAAACCATATCTCTTCCTCACCACGTTGTATACTGTCGGGTAGATCGCTAGTCATGGTCTGAAGCCACAAATGGGTCAAATTAGCATCTCCACCTGGATGCTGTACTCTCAGCCATGGCCCGAAGCAGGTTTCCTCAAACAATTTTCTTTGTGCAGGTGAAAGCTTCGAAGCAATTGTAGTGGCTAGGCTAACTTTATTCCTTAATGTCAATGAAGCCGAAAAAAATTTCTACAAAAACAATAAACATACCAAGTTAGATATACCAAAAACTACACTGTGAAGATATACCAAAAACAATAAACATAAAGAGTAGTAGTTTATTCTTGAAACTAAAATTTGCAACACTGTTTTGTCTTTTGGTTGAAATGAAAATCGCAACGAGAGAATGACTATCGCAACGCGAAATGAAAATCGCAACGAGAAATAAAAATCGCAATGCGATTTTGGTTTCGCGTTGCGATTTTCGTTTCGCGTTGCGATTCTCTCGTTGCGATTTTCATTTCTCTCGTTGCGATAGTCATTTTCGTGTTGCGATTTTCATTTTCATGTTGCGATTTTTTAAGTTTAGAAACTATTCTTCTTCTGCAAATTGAAACTTTAATGGATTGCATTACTTCAACCAAAAGACAAAACAAAGACAAATACTAACTTTACAGGGTTAAAGACTAAACAGTTTAGCAGTATTGGCAGCAATAGAATGAATTTAATAAGAAATCTAAGTGAAATGGTTAATCTATTATTGAAATTACCAGTAAACTTATCATCAATTTCAATATGAAAAACCTAAAATAATGCAAAATTTTCAAAATAAAAATAATTAAAAAAACTAACCCTCAGAGGTTGATTTTCCATTTCTGAATGATCGTGAGGGATTTCTGACCGTGAATGGTTGTGAGGGATTTCGCCGGAGATGGGGACGGAAATCTTCGGAGATGGGGACGGATTTCGCCGTAGAGAGTGAGAGATGGAGATGAGACTGAGTTGTGATTTTAGGTTTTAGGTTATGAGTTGCGATTACGGGATATACTGTGGACGGTTCAGTGTTCCGATAATTAATATTCGTGTTTGGAATTTGAAAATAAAATACGCGTAGCGACTCTAATGGCGCTTTAAAAATCGCGTTGCGATTTACGGATACGCGTTACGATTTTACGTATTGTCGTTGCGATTTACGGATACGCATTGCGATTTACGTATTCTCGTTGCGATTTACAGATACGCGTTGCGATTTACGTATTCTCGTTGCGATTTTACGGATACTCGTTGTGATAATCGGAATCGCGTTGCGATTTATATGTTCGCGTTGCGATTTTCATATTCCCGTTGCGATTCTGGAAAATCGCAATGCGAATTTGTACTATCGCATTGCGATTCTTCATAATCGTGTTGCGATTCTGGAGATCGCGTTGCGATTTTTATTTCACATTGCGATTTTTTTGGTCATTTTGGCAAATCCAAAAAAAGATTGATTAAAATCGTATATTATAAGACATTTTTTGTCACTGAGACGATTTTCTCTTAAATATAATAGGAGCCCAAATGAAGCCCACAGTTGGAACCCTAAACTCAATCCATTATTTCTTTCCAGAAAAAAAGAGAGGCAATATTTATACCTTTCTAACTCTGTTCTTACTACGTTTTAGATTCTCCTTTTTTTTTGGTCAATTATTCAGTGAAGCTATTAAGATTCTTTCTTCAAACTAGAAGCTCTAAAACCCCCAAACCCTAATCGTTAGAAACTCTAGCCAGTTACTGGAGCAACTTTGAGAAGAAAACCTTGAAAATGGACCTGGATGATTTAGGAGAGCTCGACGGTTCAAGTCAGGTCAATACTCGAACCACCAAATTCGCGCCCAAATCTTCCAAATTCGCACCCAAGCTCAAACCGACGTCTAAGACGAAGCGCGAACCGTCTTCCAAACAGGAGCCTCAAGACTCCGAACCGAAACCCCAACCACAACCGCCGCCACCTGCGGAATCGGTTTCGAAAAAGAAAGAAAACGAGGATGAGGATTTAAAACCACCGGTGGTTGCTGAACTGAAAGCCGAACAACCGATATCAAACGGCGCGATGAAGATGGAGGTCGATGGGAAAACTAAAGATGATGAGATCTTGAGCGAAGCCAACAAAGTTGAAGATCAAGAAAAAGAAGATGACGAAGATATGGTTGTTCGCGAAATCGACGTCTTATTCACTCCTTCTATTGGCGCCGACGCTCAGGTAATTTCATTTTTATTTCTTTTGTTTTCATATTGTTTTGTTTTCAGTTTTGCTTATTTTGCTTCTTCTTTTTTGGGGGTGGGGGGAAATAAAATTGCAGTTATATGTTCTGCAATATCCTTTAAGACCTTGCTGGCGACCATACGAATTAGAAGAACGATGCGAGGAGGTTCCTCTCTCTCTATCTCTTCTCCTTATTTTGGAACCAATCTTATTCTTTAGTTATTTTGTAGGTAAGGGTGAAACCAGCTAGTGGGGAAGTTGAAATTGACATGTCTGTCGATCTTGATTCGGCCAATTATGATAGTGAAAGTGATAAAAAAATGAAGATGACAAAGCAGGTTTGGCTGTGATTTTACATTTAATCGAACTTCAATTTACGTGCTTTGTGTTGATCAATATTTTACATCTTGCATTTGTTTACATAAGTTGCATCACCGCATTAGTTTTTGGCATAATTAAACAAAATTCTAGTAGCTATGTTCCTTTGATTTGTTATAACCTTGTCTAGTGCTTTGAAATGTGTTTTCCAAATCACTTTCGTTTGATAACCTAATTTTGTATTGTGACTACATTTTAGACTTTATCTCCTTCATGGCTACCATCACGCTCAGCTGGTTATGCTGTTGGAGTTTTAATGGGTGATAAGGTATGTGCATCTGGTATCTCTTGGATGAGCTTGATTGATACTAGTTATATAATATTTGACATGTAACCGTCCAATCATTTTATTCAAGCAGATACAGTATTGATCTTCAGCTGTTCTTCTTTGATTTTTTTAAAATTGCATACTCATTGCTCAGCTTTGAGATGGGAATTAAGTGGTCATGGTTTTATTATATTATTTAATCTTTATTTATAGATATTGTAGTTCTAAGGTTATTTTATGGTGCAGTTGCACCTAAATCCTATCCAAGCAGTTGTTCAGCTCCGACCATCGCTGGAACATCTCAACTCCGGAGTTTCTAAAAGAAAGAGCACAGTGGCTGCCAATGCAGAAGTTACTGTTAAGTAGAAGAACAAAATGATGGAAAAGCAGTTGGTCCATCAACCAAGCAGGTTATTCCTGATTACCGGGATATAATTTTATGAAAATTTTAAATTTTTAAGGTTAAAAATGTGTCTCAAACAAACCTTGTTTTTGGATCTGTTTGCAATTTCTCATAGGAAATCTTTTTTTATGCCTGTGCACATTAATTCTATACATGAGTTTTTTCTCTGATGCAGAACAAGAAAATACAGTCCCCAGCTGAGCAAAGAGCAGAAGATAAAGAGGTATTGTTTCTACTTCCTTTTTATACAGCATCAGTATTTTCAGGCTAAATTTACATTGATATGTGAGCAATTGAAATGGCTTGTAATTTTAGGATACTGTTACTGCTTGCTAAATTTTCTACCAACTTTGTTGTCACTTGTTACTACTGGAATTTTATTCTATTTTATGGAAAATCATGAATTATTTAGATTTACTCTTTCTTTTTCATTTTTGGTTCTTTTCCTTCTCTTTCCAGTGTTGGGTTCCTCTCAAGTATCATAGCTCCAAGAGTGATTTCTCTGCCCAGTATCTGCATAGAATGATGGCAGAACAAAGCTGTCTAATTGAGTTTACCATGAGCCCGTATGTGTTTTCCTATTACCTGTTTGTTTGGCAGCCTTTATGCTAAGAATTTGGAGAGAAGTTCAAAGATACCGTATGGATACATTAATAAGCTGATTGTATATTCTTTCAATTGTTTTTCATTATCTCTAGGCATGATTATGTTGACTCCTTGTGTCCTTTACCAAGCAGCAGCACTAAATCACAAGGTCCATCCAGAAGGTATGATTACTCTTCTAGCTTATTTCTAGCTTCCATAGGAATATGACTCGGAAGATGCAGTTTGGTATATGTATTTAACTTGTTCATGACTTCACATGTTTGATATGTTCATAGCTTTAGGTGGTGGAAAATACATCATCAGCCTCTTCTTTATGTTTAATTATTTAAAGACCATGAGATCGTTTCTTTCAGGTTTTTGCTTTCAATTCCACTGGAAGAACGTTTGAAGACATTATTGACTAAGGTCTGTTTAACTAGAGCTTCCACTTTGTCTTTTCAGCGTGTATGGCTTGTCTGCATGGTTTGGCTACTGTCAGATATATAGTGCATAAAAGGATGAAGTTCTAAACCCCCAAAATTTAATACGGAAGGCTGTTTCTACCTTTAAACTTTTTCCATATCCATTCCCTAAGAACCTAAGCTTTTAGCTGACATGCATCTTTACATTAATGCTTTTGTTGCCTGAAGTTAGGATCATGATCTTATGTTGTATTTTATTTGATTAAGAATGCTATAGAATCTTGCATTTCTTTTCTCTTATTTAAATGTCTTGGAAAAGAAAGATTAAGGTTTTGACCGTTAAATTTTACCTTTTTTTACCAGCCTTGGTAGGGATTAAGAAAGCCATAAGATAATATATTATACCATGTAATTTTTCCAACTTTTCTTCTCTAAATAGGGACCATCTTTGCACCGATTCAGCGCTCTCAGATCCTATGCTGAAGATGTCCCAATTGAAGAATTCTTTGAAGTCCTTCAGAAGCATGCTCTATTAGTGCAGGGACTCTGGGTTCTGAAGAGTTCGTTATTGTTTCCAGAGGATCCGTCTAAATCTTTAGCCCGAGACTACATTCTTCTCTTATTTAGTAAGAACCCATTAATAAGTTCTTCAGAAATAGATGTCCTTTCCACAAGTCGCAAAGAAGAAGTGAAAGGCATTCTGAAAATTTTAGCCGTTGAAAGGAAGGCCTTCAAAGATTGGAAGTTAAAGTGGGATGTCGATGACAAATTCAGAAAACAATATCCAGATATTGTTAAGAAACAAGAAAATATTTGGAAATCTGGAGAACACAATGTAATTAGTCATATTTGTCGAGGTGCAAGAGGTGGCCCTAGTAGAACAAAGCCTGGCACAGTCATAAAGCAAGAAAAAGCAGTGAACTCTGATAAAGTTGCAAGAAAGGGTGCAGCTGGAGCACAAGCTGGGAGGACAATGTCTGATGAAACACGAGAAGCTATTCCAAAGGCGCTGAAAAAAGTGTTTCAAACTTACAAAGTTTGCAGGTAGATTGTTAGAGGCTTTAATCGTAGACATTTCAACCTGACAGTTTGCTTCATTCATTTCATCCTATGCTGAATATGTAAACCTTGATTTATTTATGCTGATGAAAGTTTATATAAATTGTGTTTCACTACCTGTTTGTTTTTAGCTTGCAACTGATTCGCAAGGGTCTACGGGATTTGGCACTTTCTGAGTCCACCCTTCCCAAGGCAGATGCTAGACTGGTAGTTAAGGCAGCATTTGGTGCTGACGCACCTGAGCATGAGCTCCAGGAAGTCGTAAGTCAAGTTGCAGTAGAACTTCCTCGTGGTCTTTTTGTTATGAATTCATCCCAAGAGAATCGAGAATATGATCCATTGAGGTTGTATATAGATCTGTTCAACTACAAAGCTTATGCTTAAATAAACAATCTCTACGTTCTTTCTACAAATTTCCCTCTTTTTCATCAGATTATTCTTTTCAATGCAGGGAAGTTGTGATTAATCTTCTTCGTGTGAAAGAAAAGCTCAAGAAGGCTGATGTTGAAGCTGCAGCCCTTCTTAGTCTCAAGAGGAAAATTACTAATAATGAATATAATAAGGTATCTTGTGTACTTAGATAATATCTTTTGCTTTCCTAAATCTTTTTTGATCTGCTTTAGGTTTGAGGCGTGGTTAATTGTTTGCATGAGGCATGCGTACATTTAAGAAGGTATATGTAAATTCGTAAAATGCCTCTCACATTCTTATACCAAATACATAAATGAGGCAACCTAGAGAAGAATTTGGAACACCGTGTCTTGTTTTGACCGGCATTACGTTACGGACTGTGCCGACCAAATCCTATCAGTCATGTCATGAGCTGATTTGTACAACCGAACCAGGATAATCATCCTTTTAAACGGTAGGCATGCTTTAATGAACTGGGTACTAGGATCAGCATTGAGTTGTAATCAGATATATCAAATGGCATTTGGATCGAACATTCCATCATACCAATTGAATGATTCCCTTTCCAATATTGCTTGATCTAAGAGATGGTATTGTCTTCTTTGGCAGGTAATGAGTGATTTTGCGAGTACAAGGGTAACTCGTGGGTATTGAAAAGTGGTGATGGGAAGCCTAACTAATTTTCAACACTTGTTCATGGGGATTGCTGAAGAAAATCAGGGCAAAAGGGACGGTAATTAATCTTGAAATATATATATATAAATAGTTTTATGATGGCATGTATAGCTTTATCTTTATTTAAATTAGTTTTAGCGATGAATTGATAGGTAGGCCAATTTTCATGGGATGGAAATATACGTATTTGTTCTCAATGATATTTTGGTGTTATTCGCAGCCTTTTTCCTCTTTGGTAAATGTAGATGCAATAAAGATCGATAATGTAGTAGTGGGTCATTAGTTAGCAATAATTTGAATTAAACAAAACTTCAAATTTAAGATTGTTCAATATTTTTGGCATTTTAATGAATAGTTAAAGTAATTCAATTTTCCTTGTTAAGTATCTTAAGTAGTATTTTCTAATATTTTAATACTGTCTTAATAAAGTGTTTAAATTATAATTTTTTCTTCGTTTAAGTGTCTAAACCTTTTTTTTTGCTAATATGGTTGCTTAATGTTTCATAGGTGATCATTTTAAGTCTTGGTCTATCATGATTATTAAAAAATTCGTTAAAATTTAGTCAATCAATATGTATTTGACACATGATCTGATTTTTTATTTCCCTTAAAATTTAAGGGTAAAATACTAAATTGGTCCTTTTCAGATTTGTACTCTTTTACTTATCAAATTCAAAAAAAAAACGGTTATGTTTTGGTCACTTACGGTATTGTTTTATTAAGTTCTGATCATTGAGATGTTAAATGTCATTAGTATGGTGACATGATATGTTAATAAAATGAAATATTTTTTTTGTAAATTAATGTTATTTAACATCTTGATGATCAAAATATGGACACACCATGTTTAATTATATATTTAGTTCAATTTAGTTTGATTATTGCCAATCATGTTTGAATTATCGAATTTAATTCGAGCATATTACTATGACATGAGTAGGTTACAAGTTGAATGAAATTTGAAAATTCATTTCCAATATCCAACAAAAAGAGTACAAATCCCTAACAATGTTGTGAAAACAATTGGTTTGCTAAAAAAAGAAAAGGGTAGACATAAAGTAATCCACTAAAAATAGACGTCCAGGTTTAAGGCATGCGCATCGATTGTGGGACTTGAACCACATAAAAGCGTTACAGATGCCGCTATCGCCTGCTTTACTTTCTTTCTACTCATTGCTCAACTTCGTTGAGCTTTTTCTTCTACCTTTATTCTCCTTGTATCTTTTTTACCTCAAATGTACTCAATCATCCGTTTGACCTCATTTCAATTATGGCCCTCCATCATCATCTCTTATGTGGTCAAATTTAATATCCAGCAATTTTTTCATATAAAATATGAATATATAAATTCAATAATTTATTTGGAGGAAGCTCTCTGTCTACTGGTCAATAACCCACCCTAGCGAATACCTCATGTCCAATGTAGCTGTACATTCTCTAGCTACTTGGGTGTTTACTCCTCGTCTATTTATTTCGATGATGAATATCCAGATTTCATGCGCTCTATTGTATTGTTTGATGTTATTTATGGTTAATGTTAATCCCGTCTTGTTTAATAAAAAATTCAATAATTTAAAAATAAAATAAATACGAACAAAATCAAATGAATATAAATATATTAAGAGATACTTTTACTTTTTTTTCTCTTCTTTTCCTTGCTATGATATAATATTATTTTATTTTTCACATTTTAAAAACAAAAGGACTGTGAAGGGTGGGAACACATTTTAAAGGAATAGCTAAGACCTATCCTTGTCTTTATTTTAGTGCCGACTTATTTAGTGTAATCACTTGTATTTGATTTATTAATTAATTAAGATTAAATATGATAAAAATTCATATAAAATGAGTTTTTCAATTAAATTTAATTTATTCATAAACGTTAAATCTAAATACTTAACCTTATTCTAGAAATCTAATACTTCATCTCATTAGATTAACTGATTATTTGTATTTTGGTGTTAATTTTACAAGGGGAAAAATGCATAATCATCCAAGGCTAGGTATACTTGTTTTGTATGTTAATGGTCGGTGAATTTTGTGTTAGGGACAAATTTCTAAAATTTTAGGAGGGAGCAAAGTTATAGAATTTTAGAGGCGGAAATATTATATCAATTAAAATTACAAAAAATATCTAAAAATATATTTATAATTTTCAGAGGACGGTTACTTCTACCCACCTCTTCAATCTACCCCTGTTAATGGCATTTAAAATATTGTATGTTTATGTAAATATTTAACGTGTCCATGTATTTATCATGAGAGATGCTTAGCATTTGGAAGATTTATACGAATTGAGAAATGACCACATTATGTAATGTTAGAACATAAAACTAATAAAAGTGGGCATAATTAGTCCTAGACTATTGACAAATAAATCAAGGCATTTAATATTTTGAGCGATGCATGGAGATGGTGACGAAAATAAAGAAGAAACATGCAGGAACAAAATTAATGGGAAGCTGAATAATGAATTTAATATGATCACAACATTGTGGGTGGGAAACAATACGTTGAATTTAGTATTATTTGAAAGTAGGATTCAACTAGTTTAGAAACATAAAAAAAACTTCATTGATTGGGGGACCAAACAAATCAAAGGAAGAATAAGAAAACAGAGAGGGGTTTCTCTAAATTAAATTTGATATTTAACTATGGCCCACAAGTATCGGGGTGTTTACAAATAGGACCGGATCTAAAAATATTTTTAAGAGTAGACACATATTAATAATATATATTTTTATAAGGGGTGTATCTGCATCAACCACACACATAATTACTTTAAAAGAAGAAGATTTACAACTTCACCATCTGAGGATTTGCAATCAGCTTGGGGTCACTCTCAATCCAAGTGAATGGCGCTGCAACATCTTTATCAGTGTATGCTAATACATCAAACACGCCTGTAACACCACCACAAGTGAGAGAGACGACTATTAAACCTATTGTTGAGGAAGAAGATGACTCTATCCATGTCCGACACTAGTTTCAAACACATATCCGAACCAGTGGCCGATCCATGTTATGGATAGGATGGACAAGTTCAGACCATGAAATCCAAATTTTCTTATGTTATTTGGATCCACCACTAAATTCCGGACATGAAACTTCATAAAAATCAAACATACGTATCCAACACTTACAACTGAATCTGGGGAAAACAGGGTTTAGCTTTGGTGTTATTGGCTTACGTGGTTCATCAAGAAATGGCAAGTAAGTAATACTTGAAGCAATCTGTCTCATGATTGCTTGTATTTCTCTCATGACTTCTTTGTCACTCTTTTCCCTCGACACACTGCAAACAAATTCTCAGGTTTCAAACAAATACCATACACTGATTAAATAAATATGTCGAGCAAAAAAGAGAAAACAAAATTTACACTTTTTCCACGTTTAGCCCTCTTGAAGAAGAAGAAGAAGAAGAAGAAGAAGAAGAAGAAGAGTCAAAGGATGTGTCAAACATGCTGAGTCAGTTGGAACCAACTGAATCAGATCCGTTGGGTTCGGATAAAAAGCCTATCCCTATGAGGTTGCATGAAGTGTTGGGGTTGCCTTGGTTTTTTCCAGCACCAATCCAATGCATGCTCCAGTAGCTTAACTCCCTTTTCCCGTCACCAAATATAGCTCTCCTATTTGTTTCCCTAATGTATTACTATTCCTTCTGTGCTATTATTTGGCTTTGTTTAATTTCATTGACGGCTTCAACAACTAGCTGTTAAATCAATTATTCACTAGAAAGAAAAGGATATAAATGTACCTTACAAGCACCGAGTCAAACATATAAAAGCATTTATTTTAAATCGTAAAACGAATACCCGTAAGGAGTAAATAAAACGAGACAGATCGTAAATTATTCGAGATCTATTTAGTCAAAGTTCGATAAATATTCGATTCGAATGGATTCGATTCGAATTTTTAATGAGCCGAAACGAACTATTTGATACTCGACTCAAAAAACTCGTGAGTAGCTCGAAAATATAATATATTAAGATTTTATTTTTTAAAAATAAATAAATTATTAATAACATTAACATTTATGTGTTGATTTAAAAAAAAATGCAATGTAAGAGTTTCATGTATTTAAGGTTGATGTTTGAGTTTAAGTTCGAGGCTTCAATAGAGTTAAGTTTAAGATTTTTTTTCCATTTTGAGCTTTTACGAGCTCCAGTTCATGATTTCGAATTCGATTCGAGCTTGAAAATTTTAGGCTCACAAGTTTTCGAGTCGAGTCGAGTTTCATTTCAGGATTTTCGAGTTGAGTCGAACTCAATAATACTCGAACTCGACTTAACTCGTTTACAACCCTAACACCCACCTTTCAAAATATTTTATTTTTATAAAAATCCACACAAATTTCTTTTTCATTTTATGATATTCTATCGTTGCTTCACCATATTTATTTAAAATGTAGAAGAAAAATAATAAATTTATATTTTAATAATTTGGAGTTTTTGAGTCTCTTTATAGTACCATAAAAAATTATTAGAGAATTATAAAGTAAGTGCAACCATGCAAACTTTATAGTTAATGTTGCTATTTGAATAATAATTATTTTTCCTTGATAGGTATGGTATAATTATATTCCATAGATTTATAATACTGTATTCAATATACAAAATATCTAAATGACAGAGAAACTAAATTATTTTAATATTTGACGATTTATTTCTTTTAGTTAATTGTAATTGATAATTCAATATAGAAATAATAAAATAAATGGATTGAAGGTGACAATAATAATTTTTATGAGGGAGAGAACCCGGAGGAGATTATGAATCTCTTTTCTCAATTATACATGATGGTTTATATATTGATTTTTAGTATGAGCAGTATACCTAGAGCGATAATGATTATATGTAACTTGGTAGGTTAATTATATCTATTTATCAAATAACAGATTTGTTTTTGATAAATTACATGAATTTATCAAAGATCATGTTAAGAGTCTATTAATTATTCAGAGAAGGTAGAATTTCGAACATTTTAAGCATTTAAAAAAACCCTTTAAAAAGCATGAAATTTTGAAAGTCTTGATGTTCAACATGTACAAAATGACCGTACATTTTTTTTCGAGATTTTAAAATATTTTAGACATCTCAACGTTTGATTAGACGAAGGACGGATAACGGAAAGTCTCACGTATGATAATTTTAATATACGGTTAAAAAAAGTTATATCAATTTTGTTATTATTTTTTAATATTTTCAATAAAAAATTATAAAAAATATTATTATTTCTATCGATTATTATTATTAGACACTTTTCTGATTTTATTAATACATTTGATAAAATATTACCTAAAATATTATTTTTTATTAATTTTATTATTATTAGAAACTTTACTAAAAATATTAAAAATATTACGAATAACGATCTTTCAACAAATGAGTATGATAACCGTTAAGAAAATCATGACAGGAGTAGAAGGGATAAACAAGTAGTTGAACGCGTGGCTTTAACGTGCCGACCAATCACTACAAATTGGGAAATGTCAACTCTTCCTTCCCCCCCAAATATAAAATGGGAAATTCAAGTAACCAAACGCCCAAAGAAAACCACCGAATTTCGTTACTGCATGTCAAAACCCTACCAAATCAATTACCAACCGCCCTTTGATTACGCCACGTGTTAAATCTTCCCTGTCACGGCCCCACTCGAAATTAATAATAGTTTTTGTTTAATATTTAATCTACTAATTTTTAATTATATATAATATTATATATTAATTATTTATTGTTAAAAAATTAATGATAATATTTATATATTATCATAAGTAATATTACACCAATACTAAAAAATAATTACATCAGTATCAATGGAAATCTTTTAACTACGAATGATTTGAATAGAATCAAAACACAACATTAATTATAATTCGAAAAAGATTAAAAGTTGAATGATTAAAAAATAAATTAAATAATAAGTGAGCGGTGGAATAAGTAATTTACTCTTTTTTTAGTAATAAGTAATGTATTTAGTATTTAAAAAAAGGTAAAGTAAACTCATCGTCTTTTCCTTTTTTATCATCATCCGTAGATCCCCTACCTATCCATTGAATACTTCCAAACTGCAGCGACAAAATAATTCTTCAGATTTCTATAGACTATTAGGGAAGATTTATTTAATGTATTTATTTATTTAGTGTTTTTTTCAGATTCAAATGATTTAAGGAGAGATTTAAAGTTCTTCATTGTTTTTGGGGGAAAAAGAGAGAGAGGCATACTCTGCGATGGGTCTTTGCACTTCCAAACCTTCCTCAAACCCATCGTTTTCTCGTAATTCCAATTCAAGGAATACCCCAATCCATCCCCGGAATAACGACATCCACACTAAGTCCAACTCTATTCCACCTTCTCCGTTACCTGATGTACTGAACGCTAACCAAAACCACAACCACAAGGATGATCAAGCTAAACAAGACAAGGAGACTTCAAATTCCAGCAATGAATTCAAGAAATCACCCCTTTTCCCGTTTTATAGTCCTAGTCCAGCTCACTACTTGTTCTCCAAGAAGTCTCCGGCGAGATCGTCCGTCAATTCCACCCCAAAACGGTTTTTCCGGAAGCCGTTCCCTCCTCCTTCACCGGCCAAGCATATCAGGGCAGTTCTTGCTCGGCGGCACGGCTCTGTCAAGCCGAATGAGTCGTGATACCGGAAGGAAGTGAGCCGACGGGGATTGTCCGGTGCGAGCCACCGGTACTGGTCTGGATAAGAGCTTCGGCTTTTCAAAGCACTTTGAGAGCAAGTATGAGCTCGGAGAAGAGTTAGGGAGAGGCCATTTCGGTTACACTTGTGCGGCGAAAGTTAAGAAAGGAGAGCTTAAAGGACAACAGGTTGCCGTTAAAGTGATACCTAAAGCGAAGGTTTCTTTTATTTTTTTGTTATTATTGTTATGTTCTTGAACTTTGCCTTTTTTGTTTAATGATGTTGAAGAAATGCGATCCGTGGGAATTATATCAGAGTGTAATGAAGATCATTTCCAAATGCGTTGACTTCTATAATTGTTAGTACTTAATTATTCCTTAAAACGTGTTTAGCATTGTTCTCAAAGCATGCTTTATGGAAGCAGAGTAATTTTATCTCTGGGTAGTTGCCATTTTGTGCCCTTAAACTGTTGTGTTATAATTGCCTTCTTGTTTTTCTCGTTGTTGATCTTGTTGTTTATTGATAGATGACTACAGCAATTGCCATAGAGGATGTTAGAAGGGAGGTTAAAATACTGAGAGCTCTGTCTGGACATAACAATTTAGTTCATTTCTATGATGCACATGAGGACCACGATAATGTCTACATAGTAATGGAGTAAGTACTTTATGAAAAACATGAATTGATTCAACAGTTGTGTGTTTTCCCTTTTGTGATGGGGTCTATTGCTGCTGGTTCTAATAAGTTACCACACATTGTTCAGATTATGTGAAGGAGGGGAACTCTTGGACAGAATTCTGTCAAGGTATTTCTTCTAATAATAGATGCTTCGAAGTTCTGTTTCATTGACTGACCAAATGTAGGAGATTGTGGATGAATGAAACTTAGGATTTGAGTTTATGCTTCTATTTATGCAGGGGTGGAAAATACACTGAGGATGATGCAAGAAATGTGATGATTCAGATTCTTAATGTTGTTTCCTTCTTTCACCTGCAGGGTGTTGTGCACCGCGATCTTAAACCCGAGGTGAAATGTATTTCCAGGTTTTCTGATATTAGTTTTTGAGTTGTATTTAATGGTTTTGGGGTCTAATGTAAGATTTCGAAGGTGTATTTAAGGGTTTTCCATGAGGATACTTGGGTTAAATATACTGTTAAGCAATAACATTCACAAACAAGTACCTAAGGCTATTTTCTGGATCATGTTGTTCTCAATTCTATCATGTTGTATTTTTCACTTGTCAGCCACAGAATGCTTTAATAGTTAGATTATCAAACATCTGCCCGCATGATTGTTCTAACTTTAGCTATTTTCTGAATCAGAATTTCTTGTTTACATCAAAGGATGAAAATTCGCAATTGAAGGCCATAGACTTTGGCTTGTCTGATTTTGTGAAACCAGGTTTGCACTCTATTTTCTTTTACTTAAGTTGTATGCTTTATTCATTTGATTGGTTTGTTAATATGTTCTTTCTTTTTCCATTCGTAGATGAAAGGCTTAATGACATTGTTGGTAGTGCATACTATGTTGCACCAGAAGTTCTACATAGGTCATATAGTACGGAGGCAGATGTCTGGAGTGTAGGTGTGATTGCATATATTCTGTTGTGTGGTAGTCGTCCATTTTGGGCCCGGACAGAATCTGGGATATTCCGAGCTGTTTTAAAAGCTGATCCAAGTTTTGATGAAGCACCTTGGCCATCTCTATCTTCTGAGGCTAGGGATTTTGTGAAACGCTTACTGAACAAAGACCCAAGGAAAAGATTGACTGCAGCCCAAGCCTTGAGTGAGTGCCTCATCTACTGTCACTAGCTCACCATTCTTATGATCTTGAAATTTCACTCACAATTGTCTACTACAGGTCATCCCTGGATAGAAAATTATAATGACGTGAAAGTACCTGTGGATATACTTGTATTCAAACTCATGAAGGCTTACCTACGTTCCTCATCTCTTAGGAAAGCTGCATTAAGGGTGTGTATATGGTGATATGTATCAGCACTATTCTATATTTCTAATTCTTGGTGTGTTTGTCAATGTGTAGGAAACACCTGCATGTTGGTGTGTAGAAAATACTGCTTAGGTATCGTGTTGGAAAGTTTTGGCCAGTGCAACTTAAGTGATCTTATCCAACTTTTGAAAGTTGCTTTAGGTGGCTAACATAGGTTGGTTTATGCCACTACCAATCTGAGCCTTGTTGTGAACCCTCTAGTGGGTTCTGTAATGGGGCAAAATAATCATCAAAGGTCACAAATAGTGTGTGGCTTATAAGTTGTCTTTGGAATAGTTTATGCTTGTTTCAATTGTGAAGTGAGGTTTTTGGGAAAAAAAATCCATTAGGCTTGAGTGAAAATTTGTTTAGAATAGTCCTATTACCGTCTTAATTTTTATCTTACTAGCATTTAAAGGTTTTTTTTCTTCTTATTATTTCTTGAAGCCTCCTTTTGTTTGAGCCTACACCTAATAGGTTCCATAATTCCATATCCTTTCAGTACATGGAATTTCTAGGTAGCTCCGGCATTTTTCAGTTTGCTTATTTCCATTTTCATTGGTATTTTTCCAGGCTTTGTCTAAAACTTTGACTGTGGATGAGCTATTTTACTTGAAGGAGCAGTTCGCACTATTGGAACCAAACAAAAACGGCACTATAAGCTTGCAAAATATTGAAGTGGTTGGTATTTGTCCCATTGTCCTGATTTTTTCCGTTTTCGTATGATTAATCATCTAATGCTCGCCCTGGTCAGGCCCTGATGAAAAACGCAACAGATGCTATGGAGTCTCGCATTCCTGAATTTCTAGCATCAGTAAGTTCTTCCTCCTTTGTTAATTGTTGTGGCAATAAATAGGAACGTTTCTGAATCTCTAATGTTGTAAACTTTTTTCCTTGTGTGGTAGCTAAATGCACTTCAATACAGAAGGATGGACTTTGATGAATTCTGTGCAGCTGCATCAAGTGTTCATCAGCTCGAGACTCTTGATAGATGGGAACAACATGCTCGTTGTGCTTATGAACTTTTCGAGAAGGATGGAAATAGAGCTATTGTCATTGATGAACTAGCTTCGGTATGCTGATCTGCTCTTGCTTCACCTGGGAAACTCTTTACTTTTTTCCACTTTGTTCTGCCATTTTCGAAGCAACAAAAACCCTGACTAATCCCTAACATTTTGATGACGACTTGTCAGGAACTCGGACTGAGCCCATCCGTGCCGATTCACTCTGTCCTCCATGATTGGATTCGTCAAACCGATGGAAAGCTAAGTTTTCTCGGATTTGTTAAGTTATTGCATGGTGTATCTAGCCGAACCTTTGCAAAAGTTCAATAGGAGTTAGCAACTTCAGTAAGAGCTCAACTACCCTGACTACATATATAATACTGGTAGAGGAAATGTTGCGGGCACAAGCTTATAAAAAAAACACACGATTGATACCCGGTGCATCTGCAATTTAACATAGGACAAAGGTGTAAGAATTTGATGTTTTCAACTGTAAAATTGTAGCTAAAAAAATGTGTTAAATTGCAGAAGTTGAGAATATTTCTCAACTGGTTACAAGAGACATAATCTGACATATTTCGGCCAGCCTCATCAGACCATGATTGTATCATCTTCTTGTCCCCTCTGTTCTATAATTAGTAATGAAAAGTTCTTGCTCTTAAATTCTTCTTCCTTTGCTTCAATTAATTTATGATTGAATAAGTTGGTAAATTTAAATGCTAAAAAAAAAAGAAAATGAAAATTAGCCTTCTGGGATAAATTTCATTATACAAGAATCTACAAAATCATTAAATGCATTTTAAAATTTTCTATAACCGTCAGACTAATAAAGTTATTGTATCCATCAAGAAATAGTTTTCAATATTCAAGTTGTATTTTTATATGTTTCAAAATATTTGGACTGCTTGTTCAAAAATTTCACATTTTAAAAGTTGATTTAATTGCATTTGAATAACATCTTTCTATTTCGGCTAATTACTTTATATCTATAATCCCTGATAAATTTATATTCAAGATTCTCATTTTGTTTCTTTACTATATACAAGGATAAGAAATATATATTTTATAGAACACTAATCCTAATTAATTTTAAAGTTCTAATAATAAAATGCATCATAGTTTAATCATAATATATATTCATATAAATAAATATTAAAAAATGTATAAATTTTTAACCTTAAATATTTTCCAATAAAATTTGCAAATATTATGGGCATTTTTTTTAAAAAAAAATACAACTATTGAAAAATTATTTTAAAATTTCAGTAATTTGTTTCAGTGTACGTGAAACTCATCATGAAGTGATGACGAATTCCATTAAATATTATAGAACTCGTCATTTATCATATTTTATGGAACTCGTTTTTATCACGATCAGACTTAGGATTGAGGAATGATTTTAGGAAAAAGGGAATTAGAATAGAGAAAATGAATTATGAAACCTTCATTCATGAGGAAAAAAATCCATATTGCTTGTTACAAAGCATTTATAGTTTCAGTATTTCCTTGAACTAACTTGAACATTTTATTTTAACAGCTAGTGGCATCCTAACAGAATCTGTTAATGGTATTAGATCACCTAGACTTCAGGTTGGCTGATGTAGTCCCCCCGACTATTGGGCCTTAAACATCCAATGACCCAATATCCCCCATTTGTTCTTTGACCGACTCAAGATCCTTCTTTTCACGCACGTAACCCCGAATTGTCTTAACTCTTCCCCCTTTCATTACAATTCCTAAATCTCCAGCCAAAATCTCTAGCCCTTCTCCCGGATTGCCCAAATCTTTCTCCACCAACCCTAATTCTTCATCTTGTGCCATGACAATACCCCAGCTACAGTCGATTCTTATCCCCAAGGATCAAAGTCAGAAAATTGCACTTCCAGCACACTGAAATCTTCTCGGGTAGCATCCTCAGACCCCAAATTATACTTCATCAATAGTTAAGTGACACCATATTATCCCACTTATTAAAATGTTTATCCAATATGATTGCAGGATAAACAAAAAATTAACCATCTGGGTTCACCTTCGACGAGTCGCTTGAAGTAACCACCTTATCCCTAAGTTTCCTCTTCGAAAGACTAACATGGAATACTGGTGCACTCGCGAACCAGAAGACAGAGCCAATTAATACCCAAAATTTTGACAAGTGACCAAAATGTAATTTTTAAAGTTTGGTAGCAAAAGTAGAAATTTAAGGATCAAAGTGGTAATTTTTCAAAAAAAAGAATTTTTATTACATAAATGAATAGTTCACCCTCAAGAATGATGTTTTCATGGTTTTAAATTTTTGATCTAGGATTTATAGAAAATGCTATTAAGAGGTAAAGTTTAGTAAAATATCTAGACAATCAGATCAAATCCGAAGCTTAGAAAAATTTAAAGGATGGTGGTATGGTTTTAATATTATTATTCCAATATTTTTTATTAGAAGAATTTGATGTGAATCAGTGAAATTAAGTATTTTTTCATGTTAAAGTGGAATAGTAGAATTTAAGTGACTATATTGAGATTTTGGAAAATTGAAAGAGCAAACATGGAAATCAATAAATATTTTTTTATTTTTATTTAATGTTATGAAAAAGGCGATGAAAGGATGCCATGAAGGTAAATATCAAGATTCATTAAGGGTAGATTGGACTTTTGGGACTAAAATGAATTTTAAATTCATTAATTAGAATTTCTACAAATGTACATAGATATTTTGGGAGACTTATCTAGAAATTTTCTTCTTCTTCTTTCTATATATGCCGTGAACCATGGAAGAAGAAAAGGTAAGGTAAGTTTTCTTCATTTTCTTCAATTTTAATCATTTTCCTTTGATTTTAATATTAAATCATGAAATAGAAAAATGATCTATATTAAATCCTCTATCATTTGATATGAATATGACATGGTTTTCATTCTTGGATCAATGATTTGATTGTTAGAGTGGATAATGAACAAGTTAGAATTTTGATGATCTAAGGATAGACTTTTGTGTTGTTGATATTATAAAGTTGTTTCTAAGCTTGAATGATGATCAAAACCACCTAGAATTGCTTATATAATACTCGACCATGGTTGAATTTCATGAGAAATTGTTAAATTAGTTTTTTTGTTGATGTGAGAATGATTGAAATTACATGGAAATGTTGTTAAGGGTTAGAATACATGCTTGAATCAAAATGAAAAGATTGCTAAAATTCTTTAATAATATTCGGCCTAAAGGAAATAGATAAAGAAAAATTATAAAAAAAATTACACAAGGGTTAGAAATGATGTATGAGTGATTCTACAAGCTCTGAATGTGATTTGGAGCAATTTGGAAAATTGTGAAAGAATAGGGACCTATTTGTATAATTTGAGATATATAGGGATTAATGTGCAATTTTTTAATAGTTGATGTGTTATACTGAAATTGAATGTTGGAATGATGAATTTGATATTGAAATGTTGATTTGGATCAAATTGGAAATTTGTAAAAGTATAAAGATTTATTCAAAATTTGTGAAAAATATTGAGATTGAAGTGTAATTATTCAATAGAAGATGTACTATGATTGAATTTATTGTTAAAATGTTAAATTTGATGTTAGGATGTGAAATTGAACTAAATTGGAAAGATGGTAAAGTTTGAATATCATATCGAAAATATGAAAGAGATAAGGACTTAAGTGAAAAAGGTGTAATTCTTGAGGTATTATGTTTGAATTAAATGCTAAAATTTTGGGTCATGATAATTGAAGCTTAAGTTTGTTAAAGTTTGGGAACCAAATGTAAATTGCATAAATTGTGAGTTTGAAAGGTTAAATTGGAATTTGATTAAGTTGTTAATGACCTTTTTGCATTACATGAGAAGTTGAAGGATTAACATGCAAATGTTAGAAAGTTAGTGTACTATGTTAAAATTTATAGTTGAATGATGAAATAGTGAATTTGGATTAATGTGGAAAGTTGATTAAGGTAGAGGTCTAATTTGCAAGTTTTAAGAAATTTAAAGGTGAAATGTTAATTATGTAAAAATAATGCATTAGATTGGAAATAATGTGAAAGTGATTGAATATGATGAATTGATATGGATTTGATTTGAATATTTTGGATATTTTCAAAATGTTAGGTTATATTTAAAAGAAAAGTTTATTGGTAGCTCAATGTGAATTGTTAAAAAGTTAAATGAATTGGTATGAGAAATAATTATTTAAGGGACTTGGATGGTTAATTTGATAGAGCTAAAGTTAGTTATTGATTTGTTGGAAGAAACTTAATATTGAATATACATTAATGGTATATTAAATATGAGTTTATTATGTTAGTTCAATGTATTAATATTCTATTGACACATTATATGAATGTGATAATTTTTTATGAATATTTTATATTTGAAAAAGGATATCACAAGAGTTGTACTAAAATGTGAAATAGTATAGTATAAGAAAAATATAATAAAGAGGGGTGAAAATGTGATAAGTTGCTAAGTAGTTATGTATGAATGTAGTAATAAATTATGTTGCGAAGATTAAATGATTGAGTTTTGAATTAGACAATTATAATTTTGATATGAAATAGTATTAAAATGCCTAGTTGTTCCGTGAAATTGGATGAGAATTGAAACAAATTTAAATATTACATCATGATTTTAAGCGATTAAATAGTTTTGTAGTAAATGTTAAATTTGGAATTTTAATAAGAAATAAAATTTTACCGATTTTCGAACAGGAAATATTATACAGAAATAATGTGATATCCTTAACTTGTATTTCGATACGAATGTAGGTTAAGGGTTTTACAGCCAATTTGTAAGCAACCGACCTAATGCGCTGAAGGATCTTGTAGGGACTGAAATATCGGGTAGAAAGTTTTAAATTCTTGCGAAGAGCCCCCGACTTTTGACGATGGGGCTGAAACTTTAGGTAAACTTGACCTCTTTCAACAAATACCATGTCACTTTTCTTAGCATCAACAAATTGTTTCATTCTGTTCTGTGCGTTAGTGAGTTGATTCTGTAAAATATTATTGATGTGAACTCTTTCATACATAAACTGTTGCACATATGTAACTCGTGACTCTGTGTCACATGTAATTGTTGGGGGGCGTGTAACCATATAAGGCACTAAATGGAATAGTGCCCAGGGATGTGTGGAAACTAGTGTTGTACCATCACTCAACCTAGGACAACCATTTCAATCAAGAACTAGGCTGTAAGAAACAGAGACCCCTCAAATATTGTTCAATTAACTCTGTTTAACCGTAAGTTTCAGGGTGATAGGTAGTAGTGAACAAAGTTGTAGTACCCAACTAAAACAATTCTTTCCAAAATAAGCTAGTGAAAATCTTATCCCTATCAGTGAAAGCAACTTTAGGCTAACCATGTAGTTTATAAACATGATAAAATTACGCTTTCGCAACATCAGTAGTACTAAAGGGGTGAATTAAAAGAACAACATGACTATATTTAGTAAATCGATCAATGAAAATCAAGATACAATTGTACCGCTTAAAAGTAGATAATCCCTCCACAAAATTCATAGTGACGAATTCCCAAGTCTATTGAGGAAGAGGTAAAGGTTGTAACAACGTCAGGCATTTAACACGCTCATCTTTAATCCTTTGACACATTTTACAATGTTGCACATGTTGTTTCACCATACACTTCACCCAGCCAAAATATAGTTTCACCATGTCAGTAGCGGATGCAAAGCATATCTAGGGTGGGCATGTACTCATCTGGAATCCGAATTTTTTTATTAGTTGTTCATTTTACTATGAGTGCCACCCTAGAATTTTATTTGTACCCACTCCATACGAAAAATTTCAATAATTAATATATTTGTGCCCACCCTAAAGGATATTTTTGGATCCTCCATTACACCCTGTGATAGGTAGCCTGAATGCACGAGTGGCCTACTTGAGGCATATCGTAATGGGTGTGAATAAGTTGCCGTGAAGGGTACTTTGCCCCCAATATACACTTTCCCCTTAAACCGCAAGAAACCCTTAACATAAGTCCAATCTAGAACCGTAGTAGCATAAAGAACCAACTAAGCAATAACATCCTTAGCGATATAATCGTCGACATAGCTTTGTTCGACCTCTTGGACCTAAGCCGGATTCACGACCGTAGTAATAATCTGGTTATGCTCAACAGTGTCTTCATGTTGCCTAGATAAAGCATTTACATCCAAGTTGTGTTTACCCGGTGAATAACAAAATCCAACCCGAGGAGTTTAGTGAGTCCCTGTCTTTTTATAGTCGTAGTTAACTTCTGTCCGATTAGAGGCTTCAAAGACCCATAATCCATTTTAATAACAAACAATCTACCTTCGAGGTAATGTCGCCACTTTGTAACTACATGCATATCGCCAAATACTCTTTCTCATAGTTAGACAAACCTAAATGAGTTCTCCCCAAAGGTTTACTCAAGTAGGCAATCGATCTACCCTCTTGAGTCAGAATAGCCTTGATGCCCGTAGAACTAGCATCAGTTTCTAGGAAAATGAGATTGCTGAAATCCGGTAAAGCCAACACGAGAGCCCTACACATTACTTTCTTCAATTGATTAAAAGCCGACTTAGCCTCCTTCGAACGGACAAACTAATCCTTCTTCAATGTACTAGTTAAGGGATTATTGATTTCACCATAGCCTGAATAATTTCCTATAATATCTAGTCAAGCCTAAAAACACCCCACAAAGACTTCAAAATCTTCGGAAATGGCCATTTTCGTATTTCTTAAATATTAACAGAATTCGTAGACACTCTCGCACTAGAAATAATATAAACCAAGTACTCCACCCATCGTTTGCCAAAAAACATTTACTTCGCTTATCAAATAACTGATTGTTCTTAAGAACCTCCAAAACTGTCCGAAGGTTCCCTACACGGCACTGTAAATCTGAGCTATAAATCAAAATGTCATAAAAAAACCAAGACATACTTCCGCTTCAAGTAGCTAATTCATTAAATCTTGTAAGTTCGTCAGTACATTTGTGAAACCAAACGATATCACTTTGAACTTAAAGTGTCATGGTGTGTATGAAAGGCTATTTTTGGAATGTCTTCGGGGTTAACTCTTATCTTCCAATACTCGGACCTCAAGTCCAACTTAAAAAAAATAGTCGCAGTCAGCTCATCCAAAAGATCTTCCATGACAGGAATAGGAAATTTATTCTTCACTGTCAAGGCATTCAATTGTCTATGGTCGACACACATCCGCCAACTCCCATCATTCATTTTAACCAACAAGCAAATAGGATTTTATTGGCCTGAATAATTGAAGGAGACAACATGTAGGCCACTTCTCAAATTCAGTCTTCTGATGAAAGGGCATATGATAAGGTCGAATGTTTACAGCTCCCATTCCAGCCTATAAAACTATTGAATGATCATGTGTCCTTTCCGGGGCGGACCAGTTGGTTCCATAAAGACCTCTTGAAATTATGTCAAGACTTGTTGAATCCCAATAAGTATATCCTTTTCTCCCCCTTCCTCGATCAACATATAAAGTTGCCCCAAAAGTTCATGATATTTTCCTACTAACTTGTTTAACTTGCTGCCCAAAATCATCCAAAAGTTAAGCGAAGTATGTCCCCCTTTTAAAATAACCTCCTACCCTACACTCATGGAAATAAGTGTCATATCATTGAAGTCAATAATCAAAGGACTATACATCTTCATCCAACCCAAGTAATCGTGCTCAAAGTGAAACCCCCACATACCCCCACTATAACTGCTTACATTTCGTAGTGTTATACAACCTTTTCCCATTTATTACAGTAATGACCAAATGAGTGGTTTTATCTAATCAATCCCGTCCTTAGACCACCTAGTTGTAATAAAACTATGAGTATTGCCACCATCGATCAAAATATTCAGTGGTTTCCCTTTAATGTAACCCTTAATTCACAACGTACTATGCCCAGTCTGACCCTGCAGCGCATTAATATAAAATTTCCAAATCTGCCTCAGGCTTAACAACTCACTCTTGTGTATTCTAGTTAACCACCAAATCTCCATATTTTTTTTTCGTTCAAATCCTCCATGGAATTAAATTGCTTCAACCGAAAATGGTGACCCAGATTGAACTTTTAACCACACTTCTAAGATAGTTCATTCATCCTCATATATTCCAGTAGCGTGTGTTTATTCTGGCTCAAGCCAAGCTGACCAACATTTTGGAGTAAACTCGGGTAGCAGTAGGACTATGATAAACTGAACAAGATCCCCCTGCAGATACCTTATTAGGATACCTAAACCTTCTGTTGTCCACCTCCCACGTAAACTCATACAACTTGGCCAGTTTGAAAGCAACAGCCAGGGACTGAGGTTCATGAGCCTTAACTCTATGCTTAATTTACTCCTTTAACCTACTCAAAAAACTGGAGACATAAAAAAAAGACTATACTACAACATGAAAGACATGAGTTCCTAAAACTTCTCATGATAATCTTCAACCGAACTTTTTTGACTTAACTTATTGAACTCATTGACAACATCTGTGCAACTACTGTAAGAGAATATATGACAAATATCTACAACAAATTCATGCCATTGAACCTTATTCTTGTGCATGATATAACAATCATACCAGGTCTGGTCCCTACGAACAAGATACATTACAACTATCTCCAATTTCTGATCATCAGGAACGCAAAAAAAAAAAATATTGCATATGTGTACCTAGTCTCTAGGATTCTCTCCACTAAATATCGAAAATTCAATCTTAGGTCCAAGGTAAAAATTCCAGAGGTCGATTTTGATTTTCCTTGTCTTTCTGCATATTTTCACACTACAAATCACTCTGACTTGAACTCTCAACAACATTACTCCCTTTAATATGTTGATTATCGTGATGCAAAGATAGAGATAACTGTGGTTTAGATGCCAACAATCTCAGTTCATTAGGATTAAAAGAGTACTTCTCGTGATATTTAATCATAGTGACCTACAAAGATCTTTTACAATCACTCTTACCAACAGCTCGCTCATCCAGCTTCTTGCCACTTCCAAGAGTTATCTACTTCACCTCCTCTGCACTTTTGGCCATCAATTCCAGAATTCATTAAAAATAGTCTCGCGTCTCTGTTGAATTGGTCTCCAAATTAGTGAACCTTTCCTCCCAGCTGGCTTGCCGCGTCTCCCACCATGTAGATATCTCCCCCTAAGGCGTTTCCATAACTGGTTCAGGAGAATCGCCTGGATTAGATCCCACCATCTTCTGAATCTTCTTATTTTTCCCCCGTTTGAAAAAAAAAATTCCTCATGTGAATCAAAATAACCTGCTCTGATTACCAATTGTCATGATCAGACTTAGGATTAAGAAAGGATTTTAGGAAAAAGATAATTAGAATATAGATTTTTTTTTAAATCTTTATTCATGAGGAAAAAAACTCATATTGTTTGTTACAAAGCATTTATAGCTCCAGTTTTTCCTTCAACTAACTTGAACATTTTATTTTAACAACTGGTGACATCCTAACAGAATCTGTTACTGGTATTGGATCACCTAAACTTCACATTGGTTGATGTATTTCGCCGACTATTAGGCCTTAAACATCTAATGACTCAATATCCCTTATTTGTTCAATGACTGACCCATCACCCTTCTTTTCATACGACCCTCAATCATCTTAACTCTCTCCCTCTCATTATAATTCCCAAATCTCCAACCAAAATACCTAGCCCTTCTCCCGAATTGCCCAAATCCTTCTCCATCAATGCTAATTCTCCTCTTTGTGCCATGGCATCATTCTCTCATGAAGAATTTCATGTGCATCGTAACAAATAACCTAGTCCCAAAATAATTTTCAAACACTTTATTTTCCAAATTCTTGTTTTCATACAAATTTTTTGGCAAACAAAGTCAAATTTTTCCTCGCATTTTCTTAACAAAATAAATAAAATAAAATATATTTTCTTCAAAATTATATGTTTTTTTTGCCTTTTTCCCGAAAAATCACCGGTGACTGGTATATTTACCGATCTAATATCAGTAAGACTACATTTTTCGATCTAACACCCTTAGCAGTAAAGCGCGCCCCTGAATCGTGTTATATGCTGATTTGGCGTCACGTGGGCTAAGGTGCGCCCCCTGCATCGCGCTATATACTGACATGGGATACACGTGGGTATAGCGCGGATCAGGGGCCGCGCCTTACCTGTGTATCTGCCACGCGTCAGAAAGGCGCGCCCCCTGCCCCGTGCTATATGTTTAATTACCCCCATACCCCGACGCTTCACACCCCAATCCTCCCTATAAATACAATCCATTCTAAATCACTTTCATCACACCAAATCCTCTCAATTTCTCTCAAATACTCTTATATTCTCTGTTTAAGGTATATTTTATTATATTTTTAATATTTTGTATTTAATTTATTTAAGTATTTTAATTTATTTAATATTTTACTTATATAATTTTTTTTACAGATATATAATGGAAGGCGATCTACTTCGCTTGGATGGAAATCATATATCTCGACACTTTGCTGATACGGTAACATTTTAATGTTTTAATTTAATTTAAATTATTAGTAATAATTTGTTGATTTATTTAATGCATGATTATTAGATTAAGAATTAATTTTTGTAATTATTTATTTTTACGAGAAGGACCGTGTATTAGATCATTTTATTAGGAACCTTAAGTTAGTGATATCTAGCTGTGTCTTGCCGTATTTAGTAGAGGTTGGATTTGGTTACATAGGTAGATATCAGGGTCACTGTAAGATAGAACCAGACCTTATCTCTGCCTTAGTAGAGCGGTGGAGGCCGGAGACCCACACACATTCCATCTTCCGTGCGGAGAGTGCTCGATTACATTTGAGGATGTTGCTATGCACCTGGGGCTTCCGGTGGATGGGGATGTTATATCAGGGATCGCGCAGGGTTCCTGGACTACTTTGTGCAGGGAAAATCTAGGACGTGTCCCTGAAAGTTTTAACGGTGGTCGGATATCGTTAAATTGGTTAGATGTCAATTTTCGGGAGTTGAGCGAGGACGCGTCTGAGGATGAAGTTAAAATGTATACACGGGCATGAATACTATAGCTGATAGGAGGGTTGCTGATGCCAGATAAATCGCGCAACCAAGTTCACTACATGTGGTTGCGACATCTGAGCGACTTTCATCTGGCCGGATCATTCAGTTGGGGCTCGGCAGTTTTGGCTTTGTTGTACAGGGAGATGTGTCGAGCCATTGACTACAGGCGTAATGCTATCGGCGGATGTCTCCTGCTGTTGCAGTCTTGGGCATGGTATTGATTGTCCTTTTTATGTCCCGTTGTGAAGAACCCATTCGTATTTCCACTACTCCTGAGGTAATTATAAAACTGATTTCATATATTAATAATTTTATAAAGCGTATAATACATTTTTTTCCTTGAATAGGTGGTCTACTGATAGGAAAAATCATCAAGAGCTACCTGATGATTTAGAAAAAATTAGGGTGCTAATCGATCAGAAGGCTGGCACACAAGTATGAATTTTAATGTTTAAAAATCGATTTTAGATTATAGTTATATAATTAGATTATTCTTTTGATAAAAATTATATATATTTGTTTTAGTTTGAATGGGTGCCAGATTCTACTGATGATGTGAGGGCGGTGATCCCACCTGAGTTGAGGGGTCTATCAGATGTTTGGATGGTGATGATCCTCTTCATCTGTTATGCGACCGTCGAGTGGAACTCAACTGATCGCGTGCTCCGGCAATTTGGTTGTTTTCAACCAATTCCGGAAGCACCTCGCAATATGGACGAGTTATATAGCACAGATAGACGCGGCAAGACAGATACAGATTGACTGGTGAGGCATCATGAGTGGGTTGTGTTGTGGGAGGATCGACATCGGCGCCTTCCCCGTAGAGAGCCCATTTTTTATGACCTCTTGATGGTTGCTGACGGTTATTATGAGTGGTTCAACAGTAACGAGAAACCGTTTCTACTTCCCGACGATGCACGAGGGCATACGTTTCTGTGACGTCGACAAAGACGTTCACCGACACAACACCATCGTCTCCCGACTCGTGGACGGAGATCAGGTGCTTCCGGTTCATCCTCAACTGTACCAGCAGGACCTTCACAGCAGCCACCGTATCCAGCGACTTACATACCGCAGTCATATATGATGCCGCCACCGCCTTTCCATTACCAGATTATGCCGCCGTCGGCTTCACCTGGTTTTATGACCCCGCCGCCGCCACCGTCACAGATGACCCCTCCTGAAGGCTATTATGGGTCTATGTTTGCAGATCCGACTTGGGGTTCATATACTGGATATTTAGTGGGTTCAGCCTCATCACCCATGGCCGCAGCACAGACACCTCCTGTACAGTTTTCACACTCAGCGATGTCTGGGTTTTATGAGTTTTCCCAGTTTTCGTAGGTCGGTGGGATAGTCAGTTATACACCTCCAGGGTTCTTATTCTATGGAGGTGCTTTATCATCATCAGCTTCTTATCAACCTAATGTACCTACTCAGGAGGAGGAGGACGACGACGACGATGATGATGATGGTGATGATGATGACAGCGAAGAGTCACAACCAGTGATACGAAGAAATCCCCCTCGAGACCGACAGCCACCGCCCTGCAGTACACATTCGCGTCGCAGGCATCGATAGATTTTGTTTTTTATTATATTTGTATTTAGTTTATTGGACTTTTTAATTGTAATTTTTTATTATTTCTCATTTAATACTTACTTTATTTTGTTAAATTTGTTGGACTTTTTTTAATGTATTTCAGTTAATTTTGTTTATTACCATTTAATATCAGTTATTGTAATTTGGTTATCATTTACCATTTAATACTTATTGTAAGTTTGTTGTATTTAAAATTATTTTGAAATACCAAATTGTTATTAGTTTGATAAAATTTAATGATTGTGTTCGATAACTTTCTTAAGTTTGTCACTTATTATATCTTTTATTATAATCACACATAACGCAAACGTCCAATCTCGTATTATTGTATCATTTTTTAATCTTCATCAGCGATTATCGAATGACATTAACTTGAAGTAAATGCAAATTAAAGTACAAGAATTATTATTTGATAAACAAATACATCATTTCCTCATCAATTGTTACTTGATGGCAACAGAAGTGGACATGTTTTTCTAGTGTGTTCTGGGTTTCTACAATGCCCACATCTTCTGTCTTGTCTAGTCTTTCTCGAATATCCATATCGCAATGAATTCGATTGGATTTTGGATGACCACGCTCCCTCAATAAACTCGGATTTGGTACAATCGGAAGCCAATCTTGAACCTCATCAGGGTCTTTTTCATTACCTATGAGGGAAACTCAAATTCGTATACCTTAAAAACTTCAGATAGTAGGTATACGGGATCAACAAAATGGTTATAGTCTTGACGTGTATTCGAGCAAGCTGCTATCACATGAGATCATGGATACTTCAGAGCTTGAAAAAACCGCAGTCGCACGTTCTGTCCCTTAGATTTACTCTTAACGACACAGCTTCAATCCCTTGAAGAGAACAACTCTGTGACACGAAACATTTCATGCCTTCTAGAGAAGCTTGTTACAGACATTCCATTTGATGCAGAAATTTTTTTTCTGATCTGCAACTAATCTAGGGTGATAGACATGACCGTCTTGCATCCAGGTTTGAGCTTGTCCCCCGAGCTTCGCAAAAAGCGCCCCTAAACAAAAATATGTAGTCTTTACCAAAGCACTGGTAAGTGACGTGCACCCTTTAAGGTTGAATTGATTGCCTCTGCCAAGTTAGTCGTCATGTGTCCATATCGATATCCACCATCATATGCGTTCGTCCACATTTCTTTATCGATGAGGCTGATGTAATCATATCATTCCTAATTCTTTGCCCGTAAATCTTGAAGCATTGATTCAAACGTTCGAGGAAGTAGTTCGTAACCTGATCAAAAAATGTATAACTTACTAACTTGCTTTCTTTGCAAAATTAAAACGATCGAAAGAAAACAAACTATATCAGTTTCACTTACCCATGCGCACAATTAATTGACGCTCGTCATTCTTCTTGTACCTTCCATGGTAGTTCGCAGCAATGTGTCGGAGACAATACCTATGTTGAACAAATGGTGGTTGCCACATTGGACCCAAAGACTCCATTGCTGCTTTGATCCCAACTTCGCGATCTGAAATGACACAAATGTTTTCCCTCGTGATAACATGTGCACGTAAATTTCGGAGGAAAAAAGCCCAAGAATCTGTATCTTCTCTTTCGACAAGAGCAAAAGCAAAAGCAACTGGAAGAATATTGCGATTGCCATCTTGGACAACTGCCAATAATAAAACATGCTTGTATTTTTCATACAAGAAAGTCTCGTCGATCTGGACCACAGGCTTGCAGTATTTGACAGTATTAACGCACTGTGGGTAACTCCAAAAATCCCGGTAGAATTGGCATCGATCGCGAAGAACTTGATCATTATGGTATGCATAGAAGGTTTCGAAGTCCACAATTGTCCCAAGATTCAATGTCCGCACCAGCCTAAACCAACCTGGAAGTTCGTTGTAAGATGCATCCCATTCGCCATGAAGTTTGACAATGACATTTTGTTTTGCCAACCAAGATTTTTTATAGGAGACAGTGTACTCATACTGCAATTGTATAGCTGAAATCAACACTGTAACAACTATATGAGAGCTTGTTTTTACCATGGGCATGATGGTTTGACATATCATTTCAGAGTCCAAGTTGGGATGATCTTGGTTGACCCCTCTAGCACAACATGTGTTAGGACCGTTGTATACTGTTAGTTCCCATATGTTGTTTTTCCTCTTCATTTTTTATACGTGAACCATCCAATTACATCCGTTTTCACGTTGGACACAGTAGCATACATATTTTTCGGTCATGGATCGGTTGACTCTGGACTTAACATAATTATGGATATTGTAATTTTTTTTATAGCATCACTGCTTCTTCTTTGCTTGAAAACTCCATGCCTAAAGATAACTCACCATTATTTATTGATGAGTAATATCCATAGTCACCGAGATGAGGCATATCCGCAAATTCTGACCCGTACATTGTACCATAATCAACTTCATACATGTGTGCATGAGGGTCAGTTTGTGCCACATTTCCTGGAACTTCATAATCATCGGAGTTGAATTGCGGTGATTCTGGGTAAATGAATAGTCCAGTCTCAGCACCATCCGCACCAGGCTCACGAAGCGGTTCTTCTGGTGGAGATGATGGTTCCTCCATGCGCTCCACATTTAGGTCGAAGAACCTACTACTTTCACGCCTTCCCCTTGAACTAGAAGGCATATCGACATTGAGATCGAAAAAGCTCGCAGTCGAATGCCTCCCCCTAGAGCTTGAAGCCATCTTGTCAAATGGAAACTACACATATGGTTGCGTCGATGGCATCTCCATATTAAGGTCAAACGGATTTGCAGATGAATGCCTTCCCCTTGAACTGGACACGATGTTGCCATACGGATTGTTCGTCGACCCACATCGGTACATATCGTAAGGAGTTGCGGATGAATGTCTCCCCATTATGGCATTAAAATCATTACACATTACTGTCGTCGGGCTGCCAACTTGATCAACTTGTTCAGCCAGCCCATATTGAGAGCTTAATGATTGACCCCGAACGACACGCACTTAAATAAAATTTGCATACATCTTAATATCGGCGTCTGAATAATTACTTTGAGCTTCAACCATCATTTCAACATCTTAATACAACTTAATGAATGACGACATTCTTCTACTACTTCCAACATGAATCTTCCTCGAAATCTTCGTTATCAGCTCCTTAAGAGTTATGTTTCTCTTCAATGATATTTTAACACGCTTCTTTGATACGAAAACAACGCCGGTTTTATCTTCTCGAATTTCACCATCATAATAAACAATAGCTGAAAGTCGCGCTATTATTTGAGAATTAAAGGTAAGGCGTGACCCTTGACCCGCGCTATACCCTACGTGGCGTAAGGCGCGCTCCAGGGGCCACCCTATACCCACGTGTAACATATAGTGCGGTTCAGAGGGCGCGCTTTATCCCACATGACGCCAAATCAGCATATAGCGCGGTGTAGGGGCGTGTTTTACTGCAAAGGATGTTAGATCGTGAAATATAGTCTGATCAGTATTAGATAGATAAATATATCGATCACCGGTGATTTTTTGAGAAAAATACTATTTTTTTACTAAATATACCAATAAATTTTTTTTAGAAAATAATTTTCTATTTTTTATTCTTTAAACTTTTATTTTCTTCGAATCTCGATATTTCGCAAAGTTAGCTTCAAAATCTAAAAGTGTAACGGATGACCCAACTTCTTTTTCTCCATTTATTTATTGCTCTTCGTTTTCCGCCCTTGACTAGGATACATAAAATCTTCTACGCCACCACCTGACTCACTGAGTACGCCAAAACTGATGCCAAGTAATAACGGGCCCCATTCTGTAACCGAAATGGTGTTGGACTCGGAGCTAATCGCCCGCCTCTGGGAGTTCCTAGACGAATCCGACCTGAACACCACCACCACCGCAATCGTGCGGCGGAGATTGGAGCAGGATTTCGGTATCGATTTGACGGAAAGAAAGAAGTTTATTAGAGAGCAAGTCGATTTATATCTTCAAAACCAGTTCGAAAATGCCGAAGAACAAGAAGAACAAGATTATCAGACGGACAAAATTAAATCAGAGGAAACCGACGGCTCTGATTCGGACGAAGCAGAGGAGGAAACTGAAAGAGTGAGGAACAAAAGGGCCTCTTCAATAAAACGGTCAGTTCTTTATTAATTAATTAGTTTATACACAATTTTAGGCTATAGTAGTTGAAGAAAATGCACGGTATTACTTTTCTTAGTTTATTTCTTTTTGAAAAGGTTTAGATGATGCTTTGTTAGAAGTTAAATGTGAGATTACGTTGCTTATGCTTATGAGTATGCTTTAGCTTTAGAGGTGTGCATTTTTTATAGCCTTTTAAAAATGCACGTTTAAGTAAAGTTTTGGATGAAGATATTTGACAGAACCTATTTGTATTAATCTGAACAGGTGTTTAATTTAAATCCGATTCACTGAGTCACCGCCGTGGAAGTTATCCCTACAAGGTTGATTAGTCATAGTTCTGGAAACTAAACGTAAATGAATATAATAATAATAATAATAATAATAATAATAATAATAATAATAAAAAAAAAATGATTTTCCTTTTTCATTTGTCTCAAAAAACGTGAAGGATTCATTAATCTGGGATTGTATTTTTACTTTATTATAGAAAATATTTCTTATAATTTTCACCTATGTTGATTTGGAAAATCTTGAACTTTCTTTTGGAGCTTTGAAAAACTTTAGTCATCTGCTTAACAGTGAAAACGTTTTTAATTTATATGATCTCAGTAGGCAATTTGATTTCCAAATTCATTTGTTCTTATTTGTCTTCTGAATAGTTGGATTTTATGGAAACATTTGTTTCTCTTCTCCCATTTGTCTAATAAGTTGTGTTGAGATTTTTGCTCGTTGTCTGTAAATGATCCTTTTCAATATGTGATGCTGCCAGTACATAAATTGTAAAGATTGTGTTCTGCTGGCTGCAATGCTTTAAAACAAGTGCAAGCTACCATATGTTCTCTCTTTGTGATTTAAATTTGGCCTCTGGAACACGAAAATGGGTCCTGTTCTCCCCCTTAGTTGTGTGTGCCTTTAAGCTCTGGTTATTTTATAAATTTTCAACCCATATGTTGCAGTATTTTTTTTCTCATCGACCTAATCTTTATAATTACTCTTGAAGATTCTTGACAATCGAAATGTTCTTCCCATTCTTTGATATTTTGGGGGCTGGGAGAAGGAAATGGGTTGATCTTGAACTTGCAATCAATAGACTCCATATTCTCATTTCTAACAAGATAGATTAGTTTTTGTTTGAAGATGCCTTCCAGGTTACTTTACAATGACTTCTTATCTAAGTTGCATCAAGCTTACACATTCTACAGACTTATCGCTGCACCTCTGAACCAATAATATGTTTTGTAATATTTGTTAACGACAATTGCTGCTGTACAACCAGAGCGGCAGGACCCGATGTGTCATTTGGTAAAGCTTAAAAACTGCTATTTCATGTGGATCAGTGAGTGTATTTTAAAGTGAGTTATGTGTTAATTGTTGATATTATATCAGCAACTTAGAGTCTCCCTCGAATCCACTAATTTTCTAGAATATATCTATACTAAGAGTTTCGTTTTACGTTGTCATGGAAGCTCTGAAGTTTAATAGTACACATAATCAGTGGTTGCAATTGCTATCAAACTTATAGTTGCTAGTTTGTGACTCCTGGATGTTTCATTTATAATAAAGGTCAAAAAGAGTCAATAGTGAAGGTAAGAAAAGAGAAGGTGGTTTTAACAAAGCAAGCAGACTTTCCCCACAACTTCAGGAACTTTTAGGAGTCCCCGAATTGGCAAGGACTGAGGTAACTTTGAAACATCTCGATAAATTTTCAGTTTTTCTTTGTTAGTTTCATAATTCAGGAAGCTATTTTGTTCTAAATTTTCTGTTTTATAATGGTGCTAGGTAGTCAAGCAAATATGGGTTTATATTAGAGAGAAAAATTTGCAAGACCCAATTAACAAGAAAAATATAATTTGTGATGAGCCATTGCATGCAATTTTTGGTGTTGATTCCATTGACATGTTTCAAATGAACAAAGCCTTGTCAAAGCACATCTTGCCCTTGGATCCAGATGATGGTAATAAATATGTCCCTTCAACCATTTTGCTTTTGTTAAAATATTTTAGATAATTTTATTCCGTATGTTTGATTTTTGGCTCAAATTTCTCTACTTTTCCGAAACGTGCAAGTAGAAACTGCCGATTCTACATAATTGCTTAGTAACTGGTCAATGTGTTGGAAATGAGAAAAGCACTTCTTTATCGTAAATTCTTAATGTCGCTTTTTCTCAGGAAATCGGGGCATTATTTATTAGATCAAGGAAGAATACTTTTTTTCCTTCAGCAGTATGCTCCAAATGTCTTCTAAGTTCAACCAATGTATTGTCTAATATGATATGCTGCCTTTGTTTCAGTCAAGTCATTGGAGAAGGAAAAACCACGGAAGCATGAAAGAGAAGGTATGGATAGTACATTAGTAAATTAAGGTCTTCTCATGAACTTGTTTTGCATTGATAATTTTGATATGAGGAGTTAGTAAATGACTAAATTAGGCTCACAACTTGTCTTATGGCTGTACAATTAAACTAAGGAAGAATACTTTTGTATCTTTAGCACTATGCTGCAAAGGTCTTGTAAGGTGAACTTATCTATTATTAAATATGATGTGTAAATTTAATGTCATGGTCGGAGGAGAAGAGGAAGAACGAAGGAACGAGGAGGATTTGGGAATAGAGGAACGAGGGTTAGGGATTGAGGAGAGTAATTTGGGAATTGAAATCAGAAAAGGGTCTGAAGCACGAGGGAGTCATGTGTCTCACCTATCTGATGGGTTGGAGCAGACTAAGGAGTACCAGACGAGATGGAGTGGCCCTATCAAGATGGCCCAATACCTGCAGCACCAAAAGAAGGATAAGAAGCAGTTGGTTAAGCATTCTGTTAGTACAGAATGCCAGCTGGAATTGTTAGATTTCCCGTACTAGCTAGTAACTAAATAAATACCTGCTGTGTAATCAACATTTCCCTTATGAAATGAATGATGAACTTTCCTTTTCTCTAAATTCTCTCTTCTTCTATCATCTCTATTCTCGTAATCTTCTCTATTTCTCTTCAATCCATAACAATTGGTATCTAAGCCTCAATTCCTGGCAATTTTTCAGTGGGTGTGACAAAGACAAACCAGAATATGGCTGAAACTGATTTTTCTGTACTTCAAAAACAAATTGAAGACTTGGCTGCGTTGGTGAAGCAAGGCCAAGATGATTCTAATCCACCTAAATGGTGGAAAAAGCAGGAAAGCCGATTGAATACGTTGGAATCTAAACTGGAAACAAATCAGAGATATGTGGAGCAGATCTTACAGATTTTGAAGGATAAAAAGTGTGAGCAAAAGCAAATGAATGGGGACTGCTTTACTCAACTACAAGAACAAATCAGTTCAGAGAATAAACAGGTAAATATTCCTATCCTTCCTAAGACTGATGGGAAGAAACCTATGTTAGTGACAGGGATGAATGAATCTTGATTTTCATATAAGATCAGTGAATCTGAAATCCTAAAATCTAAACCAACACATGGTGACTCCACTAATGAGTTCACAGCCAAGGATATTAGGATACTTCACAATAGAGGGCATAAACTGTTTGAAAAAATGTCTAAGCTAACGTTTCAGCATTGGATAGATCATGGCAGTAATGACAAAATGTTAAGACAAGTTTTCACAGGTGGTGTTGATAAATTCATCAAATGTGAGTTCAATGTCGAGGGGATAAACCTCTACATGAACAGAACAAAAAAATGGATTAGGTTGGAATTTGCACAGCAACTTCAAAATCAAATGGAGATTCCAGATGCACTAAGAAAGAGAATCGCCCCTTATTATGATACGGGATGGAGGATGGACCACTATAAAACTCAAATTCTACAGTGCCAAAAATCTGCTATAGAACATTCCTTTAAGGCAGTGTTGACAAGTCTTTCCAAACCAGGTGGTGGCGAGTTTGGAAGGTTCTACAGCTTGCCTGCCCTGAATGATCCAAGGATTGATAAACTGCCATACTCTATTAGAATCTTGCTTGAATCTGCGGTTCGTAACTGCGAAAACTTCCACGATTTCACTGGAGTGCTTGCTGAGGTTGACCTTGCTTGTATGCGTAATGCAATGCACAAACTTGACAGTGATACAATTAATCTTATGGTTACTGTAGATATTGTCATTGACCATTCAGTTCAAGTTGATGTAACCAGATCAAAAATGCAGTGCAAGCAAACATGGAACTTGAGTTTCAGAATAACAAGGAAAGATTTTTTTTCCTTAAGTTGGGATCTACTGGCTTTCATAAAATGCTTGTTGTTCCTCCTGGTTCTAGTATTGTGCATCAAGTTAATCTTGAATATATCGGGCGGGTTGTTTTCAACACCAACGGAATGTTGTACCCCGATAATGTGGTTGGAACTGATTCCCATACAACTTTGATAGATGGTCTTGGAGTAGCTGGTTGGGGAGTTGGTGGTATTAAAGCTGAGGCAGCCATGCTTGGTCAGCCTATGAGCATGGTTTTACTTGGTGTTGTTGGATTAAAGTTATTTGGAAATTAAGAATGGTGTGACATCTACTAACTTGATTATAACCGTGACACAAATACTGAGGAAGCATGGTGTTGTTGGCAAATTCGTTGAGTTTTATGGGGACAAGTTAGAGTATTTAAATGTTACTGATTTTCAGCTTTTAAAGGAAGCTGTTGATCTTGACATCCGTGTCCAAATTGATAAAGACAGTGGGATAATAACAATTATTGATTCAGGCTTGGGTATGACAAAACAAGAACTTGTTGATTGTCTTGGAACAATTAAACAGGGTGGAACTGCTAAATTCTTGAAGGTTGTGAAGGAAAGCAAAGATGCTGGTACAAACAACAATTTGATCAGTCAGTTTGGAGTTGATTTCTATTCAGCATATTTGGTTTCTGACAAGGTAGTTGTTTCAACAAAGAGTCCGAAATCATACGTACGGGAAGGAGAAGTAAATGAAATCTCCTATTCTATTTGGGAGGAGACAACTCCAGAATGGCCTCAAAAGCTTGTGAAGAATTATTCACAAAGTGTTTCTTTCCAAATTTATACATGGCAGGAAAAGGGAATCAATAAAGAGGTCAAAGTTGATGGGGACCCAGTTGAAGCTAAAAAGTCTGGTCAAGATGAAAACATTGAGAAAAAGAAGAAAACAAAGAAGGGTGTGGAGAACTACGGGGATTGGGAGCTTACAAATGAAACTCAACCTATTGGGAATATGCTTACTCATCTATTGGACTATGTGGGTGTATTACGTCGGAATATTATGGATTTAAGGATATACTCTAGGGTGGAAGAATATTTTAGTGGCTATGAAGGATCAACTCTCCTTAGTTGGTATAGAGAAATTATTGACAGAAAAATTATTCTTGTCAATGTGGTTAATGCTAAAACTTATGAGGTTACTGTTGCAGATTATAACAGTCGTTTTTTATTTGGGTACACATCAGTTCGATCAGATTTGGTTGTTGGAGAACTTAGAATGTTTGAACCAATTGGAAATTTTTTCCTTAAACTTCAACTGGTGGAGATAATTGCTCTTATCGGAAGGGAAATAGAAGGTGCTGAACTAACTGTTGTGGCAGTGATTCTAACAGTTGAAACCCAACAATGGGTTTGGGGCAAATATAAGAAGTATGTGGGGTCTAAGTTTGGGTCTATTAAGCTGCCAATCCAAGGACCATGCCTAGCTATTGGGTTTCTACCCCTCCATTTTGATGATATTCGAGTTGGGCAACTTGTTACCTTGAAACGAAGAAATGAGAGGCTAAAAGATATACGGAAGAGCATAGTTTCACAAAACAATGATGCGGTGTTGTATGAAGTGAGTGTGAATCCAGATAAACCACCTACTCTGCTATGGTGTTTAGAATTAACAGTGTATAAGGTCCCAGATATGTTGCAAAACAGAATTAAACAACATGCTGATAGAAATCGAAGTGAAAGACAGTTTCAATTCGAAGAAGAAGTATACCTAAATTTGCAGCTCTACAGGCAGACATCCATTGCCCTGCGAAGGAAATTGAAGTTAGCAGTGAAATTTTATGGACCTTATGGAATTCTGGAAAAAATAGGAACAATAGCCTATCGGTTGGACTTACCAGATTCCTCTCGCTTGCATCCAGTATTCCATGTGAGCCTCTTGAAGAAGTTCATAGGCGATTCATCCACTGCTGTCACCAAGCCTCCAACAGTTGATGAAAAAGGGCTGTTACAAATCAAACCCTTAAAGATTATGGACAGAAGGATTGTAAACAGAAATGGCAAAACTGTGACTCAACTTTTGGGTCGCTGGGAGAATCTCGATGAAGAGTATGACACTGGGGAGGATTATTCGACTCTAAAGGGACAGTTTACTGCGTTTGATCCTTGGGGACAAGGCTCGTCTCGAGGGGTGGGTATTGTCATGGTCGGAGGAGAAGAGGAAGAACGAAGGAACGAGGAGGATTTGGGAATAGAGGAACGAGGGTTAGGGACTGAGGAGAGTAATTTGGGAATTGAAATCAGAAAAGGGTCTGAAGCACGAGGGAGTCATGTGTCTCACCTATCTGATGGGTTGGAGCAGACTAAGGAGTACCAGACGAGATGGAGTGGCCCTATCAAGATGGCCCAATACCTGCAGCACCAAAAGAAGGATAAGAAGCAGTTGGTTAAGCATTCTGTTAGTACAGAATGCCAGCTGGAATTGTTAGATTTCCCGTACTAGCTAGTAACTAAATAAATACCTGCTGTGTAATCAACATTTCCCTTATGAAATGAATGATGAACTTTCCTTTTCTCTAAATTCTCTCTTCTTCTATCATCTCTATTCTCGTAATCTTCTCTATTTCTCTTCAATCCATAACATTTAACTATATTGCTTCCATGTTATAATTGTTCCAGTCAAATCAATGGAGAAGGAAAAACCAAGAAAGCACGAGAGAGACGAAGGTATGGATAGTATATTACTAAATTAATGTCTTCTGTGTAGAACTTGTTTTGCTTCGATAGAGGAGTTAGGACGTTTAGTGCTCACATCTTTTCTACCATTGTCCATTAGCACTACCTTCAATTCAGATTTTGCTTCCCACACATGATTCTAAAAAGGTCTTTTTACTTTTGTTTCTTGAAAGAACACACTATTAGAGTTCTTTTGCTAGATGTATGTTTTGCCGCCGCCAATTCTCTATATGATTTTGGTTTTATTTCTTCATATGTTTTGTCCTAAACATATTTTGAATCAGGTTTGCACCGGTTATCATCCCTTATTTTGTTCAATCCTTAACCCTGCAATGCGATGGTACCAGTTACCTCCTTTCTTCTGCATGCACATGTCTCAGCATTTGTGTGGTTGATTCCGTTTCAGATCCAGATGAAGCAAAAGCGAAGGAAAAGCGACAGAAGGGATTTCTTGCTCCTCTTCAACTTTCAGATGCTCTGGTAAAATTTCTTGGTACCGGAGAAAATGAGCTTACGCGGGCTTCCGTAATAAAGAGAATGTGGGATTACATAAAAGAAAATAATCTCCAGGTATCTGATGATCCACCTTGCAGACTAATAGCAATATTTATGTACCACAGTCGTGAATAGCCTACTTATTAGTTTAGTCATCATTCATAAACTGCATTATAGTTGTATACCATTCTTTATTCAACATTGTTATATCTTTCTATCGATCAGCCGAATCCGCAAATCTTTTAGCTGGATATGGATATATAATATTTCACTGGTTTTCATTTTGAAGGATCCATCTGACAAGAGGAAAGTAATATGCGACGAGAAGCTGAAAGAGCTCTTCGATGTCGAAACCTTCCATGGGTTCACTGTTACAAAACTCTTGGCTGCTCATTTTCTCAAGGGCTGATCTGCTTGAATTGCAGGTATTGTTCTCGTTAAGAAACAAGGAATCCATTCATTGTTTTGCTTAGGAGAGGGGATATGTCAATTGAGGCACTGTATTTTATTAATTTAAGGTACAGGGTCCATGTTTAGTTGACGAACATACAATCAACCGATCAAGTAGGCTACAACCGAAGTTCTATAAGTTTATTTCAAAGTTCAAGGACAACCTTGAAAACTAAGAAAAAACGACCATTTTCTTATATAGGGTATCCATTTCACTTCAAACATCAAATTCATGCTAAAAACTCAAATAAACATAACCAGATAATTAAATTACATCTATAGAAGCACCATAAATTTCTAGCTTGATTGGATTTTGAAAACACGTTGAATTATAAAACCATCTTTCGGAACTGATTAGTAAAACACAGTTTATGTTTTATTATTGATTTAAAAATATTAAATTTCCAGTTTATTTATAACTGTTGGAATCTCATATTCTTTTTGATTAAAGCAACAACTTATTTAAGTGTTAATGGTTAAAGATCAACAACTTTGGAGGAGTAAAGGAGAAATTTAAAACATTTTCTCATGTTTTTAGATACGAGGGATCAACCTTTTCCATTTCAATAAACTCTCAAAATTACATAAAGTAATTTGAACATGCCATTTTGAGTTGGTAATCGTATGCCTAATCAATCCTATATTTGATTAACTAATACGGACAGAATTGAGTCATGACAAACATGCCAAAACACCTCGTAATCATACTTGATACCTTCAAATTAGCATTTGAACATGTCATAGTGAAGAGCAATCACAATGTATGAAAGAATACATGTAGACTGAGCATTGCTATAAAAGAAAATGTTTGCTCATAATAACTAATTTTCTTTTACATGTAACAATTAGCTACGAGTCTATGCTTTTTTTTTCTCAACTTTCAAATTACTATAACCATATTAACTGAACCTTGGACGTAATTTTCATTTGGTGTTAACCATCCCATCAATTTGAAGGTAAAATAGAGCATAATAGGGACAATCAATTCCCTTAGCATCCCGAAATCACGCGACTCCACTTTGTAAATTATCAACAACGGGATTTTTAATACAAGTCGACAACTTGTGATTGTTTTTTTTTTTGGAAAAAGGTAAAATGAAGCCAAATCAAAATGGAAGTGGAACTATCAATCCAACTGGTTAACGAAGGCAACCCAGCTCCAAACGACGCCGCGTGGCTCTTCTTGCCGGCATTATCATTTCCCCTTCACAAATTAAAAGTCGTCTTCTCCTTCCTTCACTGTTGCGGAACCACTCTATTGAGCTGATCAACTAAGAAACACCGTCTTATCCCACTCTTCAACTCAGTAACTCGCTTAACAAAACCGCGTCCCTGTTAAAGCTCTGTTCGGTGATGTGGCGGTGAGTTCTTTTTTTCCTTTCAAAGCGGTAGATTCGGAATCTGAAAACATAAATTAATGAATCGGGCAGACTTAACAGTCGGACTGGCTATGGATATGCCGATCATCCACGACAGTGACCTTTACGATTTCGTAAGAGATACAGGGTCGGGTAATTTTGGAGTAGCCCGTCTTATGAGAGATAAGGTTACCAAGGAGCACGTTGCTGTCAAGTATATCGAGAGGCGAGAAGGTTAGTTTATGTAAATTCATACACAACGGTGACCTTTCTTTGTACTTGTTTTAGTCTATTGATGGAAACATATTATTTATAGAGAGATAAAGTTTCCTGTTTTCGTATTATCGTTTTTATTCTGTGCGAATTTTTTTTTAATTTTAGAAATGTTTCATTAACTATCCTGCTTTTTGAAATCTCAACTCGTTAACTATCCTTTTAATTTCCAATATTCTGATTAAAATTTGTGCTTCTTTGTTTCTGTACGGATAGATGAACATGTTCGAAGAGAAATTAATAATCATCGGTCATTGAGGCATCCCAATATTGTTATATTTAAAGAGGTATGGTTCATACTTCATATTTTTCCAGTTTCACTTTGTCTCTGTATAAAAATTAAGGCAATGTTTTGATTAACCAGCTGCGGAGATTGTTACTTTAGGTTATCTTAGAACCTACTCATCTTGCCATTGCAATGGAATATGCATCCGGAGGAGAGCTTTTTGAGCGAATTTGTGCCGCTGGTCGGTTCAGTGAGGATGAAGTTCATTTTCCTCCTTTTTTTTTTACACTCACTTAAGTACCCATTTATTTATTTGCTGGCATTGATGTTATTATTTTTTCATTATCTGGTGCAGGCTCGTTCTTCTTTCAACAACTTAATCTGGTGTTAGTTATTGCCATGCAATGGTTGTTACCATGTGTCCATTTATTTGTCAACTTGTCTTATGTGTAATCTGATAAAATTATTTTGCTCATAAATTTGATTTGATGAAGCAAGTATGCCACCGTGATTTGAAGCTGGAAAATACTTTGTTGGATGGAAGTCCTGCTCCTCGGCTTAAGATATGCGATTTTAGGTACTCCAAGGTATAAATTGCCGGAACCCGTGTTGGAATTTACTCTCATTCTATGTGTCGAGGGTTCTACTTTCTACATGTGGAACTTTTGAAATTATATTCTTTGGTATGGATGTACTTATTTTGTTGCTTAAGAAATCTTGTTTTCGTTTGCCCTTGCCTTATAATAGTTATCATTAATTTTGGTATATTTGGGTGAAATTGCATGCGGCTTTATAGTTTTTTGGTCAAAAAATTGTACTTTGTTGTTTTCCAATAATCTTAATATCTAAGCTCATTATTGTGTTTATTGTTTGATTGTCTCAGTCTACAGTTCTCCATTCGCAACCGAAATCTACTGTTGGAACTCCTGCATACATTGCTTCTGAGGTACTCTTAAAGCCAGAGTCTCAATATGATGGCAAGGTATATTTACAAGAAAGTTCAAATTAGTTTAGAATGTCAGTTTCCTATTCATTTGATGTAATTCCCGGTTAAGATTTGAGAGGTTGATCTATGGGTTGGTTCCTGCTGTTTTTGTGTTTCAGTGAACTGAATCAATTGATAGTTTATTTAATCTTCAGTTTCCTATTCATAGCCTTTGAGATAACATTGCATAATATGCTAGCTTGAAATGTCCTCTGCCCTGGCAGTCCATTAACTAGGAAGTAAAATCATTAGTCTGCTTATGCGAACACCAAGGATATGATCAGCTGCAACTGGAGAGTGAAGTGTTGACTATGAACAGGCGTTATGGCTGCACTTTTCTTGGTTATTTAATATGGGCCATGTAAATACAAGGTTAATATTTGCAAATTTCATGAACAATAACTATTGAGAATCAAATTTTCAGATTGAAGCAACAATTAATACAACTCAAGAATTAATTCTGGTTGATCGAACACAATGATTTTATTTCGCTAAGAGTCTGCAGGTTCAAAATAAATTTGTCGGAGCCTCTACTCATGGTAGTAGTAGTACAAAAACATGCCCGATGAGGGGCCCCAAACGACCGACGAAGGCCTTCCTAGTGAGCCTCTGGCCAGTTAGCCTACCCTACGCAACCTTGAACCATGCTATGGCCACGGACGACCGCAACACTACGACTGACGGTGAAGGAAGTCTCAGTTTCCCCTTTTATGGCTTGAACGTGTCCCACAAGAAACAAAGACAGCATGGTAAAGGGTCAAGTTCCAACGTTCATCGATGGCTCACCTTTGTGAGAATCGACGATGAGTGACGGGGAGCAAGATACAACGGTGATGACAAGGGTTAAGCACAAAGAAGAAGAAAGAATGAGGCACTGGAAAAAGGCACCATACATCATTAAATAATAGGGTTTTGATATTAAATAAAATTGGGTTATTTACAGCTTAAGCCACCAAACTTCCTAGGGTTTTAGAAAAATTGTTCTGAGCTTTCCAAATTTACAATTTGGTCACCATTTTGAAATTAGTAATTTAGGTTTAAATTTCCCAATTTCTAGGGGTTTAGATTTGGGGGGAAATTAGGGTGTTACAATTCTACCCTCTTTAACAAAAATTTCGTCTTCGAAATTTACCAATATAAAAATAGAATGACTTAAGAAAATACATTTAATATCGTCTAACTTATCTTGGTCCTCATACCTTCGAGTAACATATACCAACCCAGAATGTCTCATTGCAGACCTATCAAAACCCCTACTCTGAGTTGATGTAACTATACTAGCTGAACCAGAACCAGAGCTAGTCAGTCTACTTTGATCCCTAAGTTGGGTCGATGCCTGAACTGAAGCCTAAGACTGACTAGGACCATAGGAACCTTAACCCAGAAGAGGAAAATTAATGAAACGATGCTCCCTAGACCCACATCGAAAACACCCTCCAGTCTTCCTCTAACACTCTCCAGGATGCCTCTTGTTACAATAAAAGCACAATGATATCTCATAACCACCAGTAGAACCACCAACACTAACAATCAGAACAACATATGTCACTGGTCTCGCTCTAGAATAACCCTGATAACCACCCATTTCATCCTTCGATCTTTTTTTCGAATTGATTCACATAACTCATCTGTGTAGGTGGTCCAAATTGCCTCCGATTCCTGTCATCGTTCTGGGCTTTAGGACCTACCGATAACAACTAATGATTCTCAGCAGTTCTAGCCTGAGCAAATAAATCATTAAATATTGTGTCATGGTGTAAGGCAACAGCTGAATGAATCGAGGGGAGAAGACATTTTAGGAACCATTCACACTTTTCTTTCTTGCTCGAAATCAACACCCAATTTCTAGGGTTTTAGATTTGGGCAAAAAAATTGGGATGTTACAATCTCCTACTAAAAGATTACCTGGACCAACATAATTAGTTGGGGTAGAGATATTGTTGACATTTGGTGTCACATGGTGTGTGGCATCTGAATCCGCGACCCAGTGCTCATGAGTAGAGGACACATCATGAGCTTGTGGTTGATTGTTACTACGAGCATTGTTAGAACACTAGGTGCAACTAGTGATTTCAACAGCAGTGTAGTGAACATCATGAGCGACCAATGTTGGCAGTAACACCAAAGAACTCTTTATCAAACCAATATCAACATCGGTTAACTAAGTGACCATTCTTACCACAAATCTGGAACTACATATGAATTCGACCACGTCCTCTACCTCCTACTCTGACATCAGTTGACTGGCGATAACCTTTGTGATCAT